GGGCTGCCGGGCGCCTGGTGGGTGGTCAGGCCTTGTGGGGCGCAGGTCGTACGCGGTAGAGCCCCCCTTTTAAGAAGGTTATATGTGATGGACAGGAGCATCATGCCCTCAACCTGAGGAATTAGTCACTAAGGTATTATAATACTAGCCAGATACTTTGTCTTTTAAGCTGCTTCTGTCTGTAAGCAAACAATCTTTTTAAAAGTTAATCACCTACTTAAACCAAAACCTGAGTGTGAGGAAGGATTGAACATATGTTTCTAAATAACGTACGTGAAATTTCTTTGAAAACCCTAAATTTAACTATCTGTCATAAAATTGGTGCACAGTAGAGGCTTGAGTTATTTCCTAAACTGAAATTATTTGTGTCTTTCAGGAAAGTACTAAATTTAAAAATGTTTGGACTACTCATTCCAAGTCACCTATTGCCTATGAGAGAGGAAGAATATATTTTGATAATTATCGGTGCTGTGTCAGCAGGTATCTTTTTGGAGGAATTTTTTTGCTATAATCCACCTCATTGTTGATCTTTATTTTTTTTAAAATAGAAACACATTCCTACATTAGAGCTTAGTGATATTGGAGAATGAAAAAATGTGTCCAAAATAGGTGGTAAAATTGCGTGTAACTTGAAAATTTTGTTAAATTTAAAGTTGCAGGTTTCCTCTTTGTAAATACTATTTAAAGTGAAATTACTTTGTAGTGCAGGCAAAATGATAAATTGCTCTCTAAATTTCTTTCGTGTAATACTGTACCTCATCATAGATAGTGCAGCTACCTTGTAATAGAATATTCTAATTCCTCCCTACTGCCTTTTATAATATCGCTGTCATTGATTTTACTTATATCTATAAGTTACAATCACTGAATACCTTGTTGCTATTACTATTGACAGTTTTATCTGTTATAAAAAATAAGAAAGATCTTCATAGTTAAGAGGCTCATGATTGGAGTGTTGTTCCATAGACTGAAAGGTTGAAGGTTCTGTCCCTGGTCAGGGCACATACTTAGGTTGCGGGCTCGATTCGTGGTGGGGCGTGTTAGGGAGGCAACCAATTGATGTTTCTCTCTCCCCACCCCCTCTCTCTCTAAAATCAATAAACATATGCTTGGGTGAGGATTTAAAAAAAAAAGTATAACAAGAATAAAGTGTTTTGTTTTACTTTCATTTATTTCTTCACTAACACTCTTTGGGTAGATCAGAGTTTCTGACCCATATTATTTTTTTCCTCTCTGAAGAACTTCTTTGAAAACTTGTAAGGCAGGTCTACTGGCAATACATTTCCTCAATTTTTGTTTGTCTGGGAAGGTATTATTTTTGTCTTGACTTTTGAAGGATAATTCCATGGGATACAGAATTTTAGGTTGGTGGGGCTTTTTCTTTTACCCCTTTCAGTATTCACTCCATTCTCTGCTTGCTTGCATGGTTTCTAAAAAGAAGTCCAATGTAATTTTTAACCTGTTCCACCATAGGTAAGGTGCTTTTCCCCCTGGCTTCTTTAAAGATGTTCTCTTGGTTTTTATTTTCTACAGTTAGAATATGATATACCTAGGTACAGATTTCTTAAAAATGTATTATACTTGGTGTTCTGTAAGCTTCTTAAATTTGTGGTTTGGAATCTGACATTAACTTGGAATATTCTCAGCCATTATTATTTCAAGAATTTCTTCTGTTTTGTTTTCTCTTTCTTCTCCTTTTATTCCTATTATGTGTATATTACATTTTTTCTAGTTATCCCATAGTTTTTAATATTCCAATTTTGATATTCTGATATTCTGATTTTGATTTTGGAAGGTGTGATGACTTCCAAGCTCTTTACGTGTTGGACCAGAAACTAGAAGTTAGGATAGTTTTTTGGGTAGTGTTTTAAATTTCTTCTGACTCAGTATGGCTTCTCCCAGCGATCTGCTTTTATTTATTCTTTTTTTTCTCATTTGGGAAGTTATTTTTTTCTCATCCTTTTTACTTTCTAGTTTGGGAAGTTTCTCTTGACATATCTTCAAGCCCATCCAAGACATTCTTCATTTGTGTTAGGATGCTTTTGATTTCTAGCATTTCCTGTTGATTTTCTCTTTGGCTTTAAAAAAAAATCTGTTTAGTTATCCATCTGTTCTTGCATGTTGTCCACTTTTTCCATTAGAGCCTTTAGCATATTAATCATAGTTATTTTAAGTTCCCAATCTGATTCCAAATTCTAAATTACCAATAAATTCCCAATCTAAACTCCAGTATCTTCACCATATCTGAGTCTAGTTCTGATACTTACTTTATCTCTTCAAACTTTGTATTTTGCATTTTAGCATGCTTTATAATTTTTTGTTGAAAGTTGTATGGGATGTATTAGGTATAATGAATTGTGGCAAACAGGTGTTTAGAGTGAGGTTTTATGTTTATCTGGCTAGGAGTTAGGCTGTGTTTGTTCTTGGCTGTAACTGCAGGTGTCAGAGGCCAAATTTCCTTTAGGGTCCTATTTTTGTCTCCCCACTACCGACTAGTGGCTTGCTCCTACATTTTGCCTCTGGTAAGACATGATTCTTGGTATCCACCTTTCTCTCCAGTGTTGGGAGCTGCAGTTTGCCCTATAACCTCAATGGATCAGCTGTTTGATGGATGTAATAAGAGTTGTTGGTTTTTAGTTTGTTCTTTTTTTTTTTTCTTGTAGTGAAGACAGGTATGATGACTTCCAAGCTCTTTATGTGTTGGACCAGAAACTAGAAGTTAGGATAGTTTTTTAGGAAGTGTTTTAAATTTCTTCTGACTCAGGATGGCTCCTTCCAGCGATCTTTTTCTGGTTCTCTCTGGGAAATTAGTCTGCATACAGTTTAGCCTGTATGGCCAGTGAATCACCACCAATCTCTTCCCATTTGTTCATCACAACCTTCAGTGGTTTTGAGAGTGCTCTTAGGCTAGAGCTCCTTCTCACTCTGCTGCAAATGAAGTCAGTTCTTCTGGGCAGGGACAAGGGGTTATCTGCTTTATGACCTGCTTCTCCACCTAGGCAAAATCTTTGAATCAGCGCTCTGGAGCTGTGGCTGTGATGGGAGCATGAGGTGGGGTGTGTCAATGGCACACTTCTCTCTAAGGGACTGCTCTGAAAACTGAGCATTTGGGGATGCAGCAGGCGTTAGCCTCAGGCCTTTTTGCCTCTCAGTGTGGAATCACTACTCTATGAGGTGGGGTAAAACAAATCTAGGCTCCAGTGTTGTTAGGCATGCCATGCTCAAGGCAGAACCTCTATCCTGTGAATAGGGGCTAGGCAGAAGAAAAGAGCCCCACCTCTCGGCTTTACTTATCCAGGACTCAGTCCTAGCAACAAGCAGCTGGGGGCTGGATAGCAAGTGCAGCCCCTCAGGGAGATAGCCCTCTGGGAGCTGGGGTAGAGGGAGCCCTGTGCTCTTTGCTGTGTCAGTCTGGAATGGAGGTTTTGCCTTCCTGAGCTAAGAATAGTGGGGAGGTAGCACATCCTACTTTAATTACCACGGACCCACAATTCTTACTGAGTCCTAGTTGATTTTCTTAGATGAATGTTTCATCATTTGCTTTATGCCCCCAGGATCATTTTCAGAGACTTTAAAATAGTTGTCCTTTTATAATTTCCACCAGGGTTCCTGGGGAGCATGCCCACAGAACCCCCATGCTGTCACGCGGGAAGTAGCAATCTGCACATTTTCTTGTATGATCATAATGTCATCATACTTCGCAAAATGAGTAGTAATTCTTTGGTATTTAGTGCCCAATTCATAGCTTTCTCAATTTAGAGGTATCTGTTTTAATTTAAAAACGTAAAGTAGTAGAAGTGGCATTGGTTGGTAAATAGTATTAGAGTTCTTTAGTATGCCATTCAGAATGTTGTCCCCATAGGTTAAAATCATATATGAGGTTGCTTTCATTCCTGTGAAATTCTGTTTGATTTAAACCTTTGAATCAGTAAGAGAACATCAAAGGTGAATAAAATTGTTACCCTCAAATTCGTGTCTGACAGTAGTTCAATTTGAAAGTTCATCAGTTAAAAAAATGAAAACTTATGTGCACATTTCAGTAGTAATCAGAGAAGAATAAATTAAGGGTAAGAGGCTATTTTTCACATCAAAAATGTAGTGTTCAATATTGGCAGAAGTATAAACTTGTTCAACCTTTCTGAAAGGCATTGGGGAGTAAAAAAACCTTAAAGGGTGTTTCTTTTTTTAATCTACTAATTTGCATTTTAAAATAATGGGGCTCCTGATTAATTTTCATTTAAAAATATTGGAGTAATAAATATGAACACCATGGATTTCAGCTGAGATATTCACAGTAAATGTTCATGATCCTGTTTTGGAAAATAATCTGCAAGTAGATATATGTATATAAAGAAAGACTAGAGGGAAATGAATCAAAATGTTAATAGAGGTTATTTTTGGTGTTTTTATAGCATAAGTCTACTTAGATTTTATTGTATTTTAAAGACTTTTTCTATTAATATTCATTATAAATTTTATGATCAGAAAAAAATGTTAACATAATTAAGAAGAAGAAAGCAAACAGTTAATAAGAAGAAGTATTTTGGTAGCCTAAATCTCTGAATAGAAAAAAGAATCACACAAACTTGAGCAAACACGGTTTCAATTATCAAGATGAATAATCATTAATCATTTATTTTTTTCCTCAGTGTTGCATCTGAGCCAAGAAAACTTTATGAAATGCCAAAATGTTCCAAATCAGAAAAAATAGAGGATGCTTTATTATGGGAATGTCCAGTGGTAAGATTTGTTTTTAGGTCTTTGTTTCTAAAGCATTTTTAGCCTAGTACTGATTATTGTTAATATATTATATAAGGGAATAAAATTTAAATATCATAGTGATTCCTGAATCTTGAAAAGAATCAAGAGAGTTTATTTTTTGATTATTACGTTTCCTCATGAAATAATAATGTTATAAATATATTTTAAAAATGTGATATACCATTTGTTAATCTTGAAAATTAGAAACAGTTATGAGCTGATTAAAAGTTCTGTAAGATAGCACTTGTGTTTGTTTTTGTTTAATTTGTGAGCAAAGACTACATACAGGTGCAAAAAAGAAAATCCTCTTTTGTAACCCAGAACTTGTTCAGTCTGAGTTTTGATACATATAAGCAGGAACATGATAACCTTAAAAAAGAAAAAAAGACTCCGTAAGAAATGAAAACTAGCTTATAGTTGTGTAAGAAATCATTCTACTTATACTGAAACAAAGATTTTTGTTAGATGTTATATTACATGTTATGGGCAACAGTTATTTTACACGACTGTTTGAAAGGGGATTCTTATAAGTTTCCTCCAGGGATCTTGTTTGGAAATCATAAGATTAAAAAAAAAAAAGGTAAGCTCATTCTACTAGACCAGCATTGCCCTAGTGTGTATTTTTTAGGACACTGTTTTCATTAGATGTTATCTAATAGTTACTAAAGGAGTTCAGAGGAAGTGGGCTGTAGACAAATAAGTTTGAGATATTCTGAGTGTAAAAGGTTAAACAAACTTACAGAATTACTTTTCAGAGCCTTTAATTGTAATAATACTTATAATAAGACTAAACTGCATGGTGATTGTCAAACTGTTTTTCCAAACTCTTGGTCATAGAACTTCCCTTTTCTAAATATTAGTCTTCCATGGGGTCAGTATTAAGAAATGCCCTAGGAAATACTACAAGAAATTAATCAGGCCTTTGAATCTGGTTGATTGTCCTCCAGGAAAAATAGAACTCACAATATGTAATCAAAAAATAATGTTTAAAGCATAAGAAAACTATATTTTGAATTTACTATTAAAGTTACTTTTTAAACTGTTGTTTTTACATAAAATTGTAGTTTTCAGTAGCAACTGCTTTCTTTTTCCCCAGACACTTATTCTCTGTTCATAGAAGGCTCCATTTTAAAAATCAGAAAGCTTTAAATCTTTTCTTCCCTAACTTCTTATCAAATGCTAAAAATACCTGTTGTGCCCCAATATCAAAAGGCTTGGCATGCATTTTCATTGGTGCAGGGAGAAGGATGACAAAATACTAAGTTGAGAAAAGTGTTTGAAGACACTAATACAAAGCACCAAAAATTTAGAGCAGTCCTATAAAAATAGAATTTCAGGTAACCTAATTCCTAGTCTCATTTCTCATCAAACATTTTGTTCTCATTTGAGGTGAAGCAAGATTTTCCATTAAAAAAAACTAAGAAGCATATTGCATTGTCTTTAACATACTGAGGTGAAACTATATTTAAAGTAATACCCTTCTTTTCTGACATTGTGTAGAATATAACTTTTGGTTTAGGAAAATAGCTCAAACCTATTATGTATGCTCCTTTATATTCTTTTTTTTTAATAGGCAAAGTATAAACAGTATATTTTTTAAAACTTAAATCTCCATGAGATGATACTTATATAGCACACTATAGAATAAAAAACTGATTAAAAAAATGTTCACTACAGCCTTAGCAAATACTAGATTAATTTTAACTTTCCTGTTTTTAACTTTTCTCTTAGAACTTCCTTTTTATTCCACAAATCAAAGAAAGAACCTTTTCTGTCTGTTTCTTCCTGCCTTAGACTTCCACCTTGTGGTAGCTCTTCAGTGGCAGACCCGCCCAAGCAGCTGTCCTCTTCCTTTTTGGGGAATAATTCTTTGGTGACACAGGTTACCTTTCAAACCAACTGTATCTTCTGTTCTTGTCTGGCTGCTTTGATTTTGGATTATAGCTTTTCATTTGGAGTTAGAGTAGAGCCACAGTGAATAATGGGATAATTTTCCCTTTTGTCATTTTGACTTCTATCAAAAGGAAAATAAGTCTTAGAATAAAGAAATGTCTATTCTAGCGATGACTCTTAATTGCTGTGCTATTTTAGATGGTTTTAAGAACCTGTTATTGCTGTTATCATCATCACAACAACATCATTAGTAGTATTCATATTCATTAAGAACACTTAATGATCAATAATAATTATAAGTAATAACTTATTTCAGGTACTGTTTAAGTGCTTTATCTGAATAGATTAAGTTAATGATGAAAATACCCACATCTTATCTTTCCTTGTCTTAATTCTCTCTTTATGCATTTGAACATCTGCTATTTCTTTTTTTGTTTACTTATTTGACTATTTCTTTAAGTGTTTAGCTATTTTCTTTGGACATTGAGTATTGCAGATTGTTCATGGCCTAGTAGTTTCATTTTTACATCTCATTTTTTTAGGGGGAAATGCTGCCCAATCCATCAGATTATAAATCTGCACTTATAGCACTGACGGCTCATAATTGGCTACTTCGTATATCAGCAACTACAGGAAAAGTCCTTGAGAAAATATATCTTGCTTCATATTGCAAATTCAGGTATTATTTGTGACTTTATGATTCAAGGTTTTATTATAGAAATTTGAGACTTGTGGCCCAGAAAATTAAAAACTTTTTTTTAAAGTTTTCCATTGCATACCTGGATCTTGATTATAAACCTATTCTTTTTCTCTCTTCATGACTACATTAGAAGATCTGAGGGTATAGACCTTTTATAATTTTCTTTGTATGTATTCTCATAAGTAACTAACCTATAGTAGCTGGTAGATAAACTTTTAAAGATTCTTGTGTTTTCCATCTATAAATAATATTCTATATGTAGGATGCACTTTATGGTAGATTTTCCTGAAGTCTAGTCTGTTTCAGTTAAATTACCCACCTAGTGCAATCCAAGAACTGTTATTTTAATTACTAGCTTTATAAATCAGATGTAAATTTTTTGGAGGAAGTATGTGCATTCAGAATGTGAAAGTAACATTTTTATGCTTTTTATAACTTCCATTTTAAAGCAGAAATAGTTATTTTGTTCTCTAAGTTTTAAATACTGTTAGATCAAACAATTTTTATTCATCAAAACTCTGGTAGGAGGGCATTTTTTTACCTATTTATTTTAAAAACACATTGCTTTTATAATTTAAGTAACTAAAAAACTTATATCTATTGTATTTTGATTTTAAATATAAGGAGACCTCCCTTCCCTCTGTCCAAATGAATAAACTTTGCTTCATTCTTTTAAAAGATACTTGAGCTGGGACACTCCTCAAGAAGTCATTGCAGTCAAGTCAGCATTGGCCCGCCAGGTAGACATCTTAAAAAACTTTCAGTAAAATGAAAATTTGTTTTTTTCCCCGTAGGAATTTGTCTGCAGATTGGTCATGAAAGAACTAATGATTTTTGTTTTCTGAAGTGTGCTATAAAAGTTTACCACAAATTAAGAAATTCCAGTTAAGCTCTGGCCAGTGTGGCTCAGTTGGTTGGAGCGTCGTCCTGTAAATCCAAAGCTTGTGGGTTTGATTCCTGGTTAGGGTGCACATCTAAGTTGGCGGTTCAATCCCCAGTCAGGGAGCCTGCGAGAGGCAGCCAATTGATGTTTTTCTCTCGCATTGATGTTTCTCTCTCTCTCCCTCTCTCTCCTCCCCACCTTCCCCTCTCTCTAAAAGCAATGAAAAAAATATCTTCAGGTGGGGGGAAGAAAAAGAAATTCTTGTTAAGCCATTCTGGGATGGTACAGATTATATTACATTTCACAGTAGGAAGAAATTGACTGATATTGTTCTTCAAAGTAAGGAAGTGATTCTCTTCAAGCAGAGAAATCACTCAAGCTTTTATTGGGGGTATTTTTGTCTCATTTTGTATAGATATGTCAGTGTAACACTGCTTTCAGATGACGTGATCATGATAACTATGTATATTTCGATTAGACTATATTATTAGAATTCCAATTTACAGTATAAATTATTAATATGCTTGATTAAAACAATATTCTATAAATATATATTAATTTATTGTATTAAAATATAATGTATACTTTGTTATAGCACTACAAATGTGTGTTAATTTATGTTATAATATAGCCATATGTATTTTTTCCTTTGTAATGGAAATGGGGTTTTTTTGTTTTTTATTTTTTATTTTACTTTTTTATTGTTCAAATACATTTGTCTCCCTTTTCATGCAACCACTTTCCCCTGCCCCCCTACCCCTACTCCCTCCCTCAATCCTTTCCCACTTTGGCTTTGTCCGTGGGTCCTTTATACATGTTCTTGACTTGACACTTCCCTTCCTTTTCCCTGCTCCCTCGCTCCTTCCCTCTTGATTCTGTTGGTTTCTTTTTTCTTTCAATGTTGCTGGTTATATTTTCCTTCCTTGTTTGTTTTATTGATTAGGTTCCCCTTATAGGTGAGATCATATAGTATTTGTCTTTCTCCCCCTGGCTTATTTCACTTAGCATAATGCTCTCTAGTTCCATCCATGCTGTCATGAAGGGTAGTAGCTCTGCTGTATAGTATTCCATTGTGTAAATGTATCACAGTTTTTTGATCCACTCATTTACTGATGGGCACTTAGGTTGCTTCCAGCATATGGCTATATATTATACAATATGTAACATACAACATATATTTTATCATACTGTATGTAAAATGTTTTTGTCATACAGTATATAAAATATATTTTGTTGCTAAGAAATGTTTAGTGTTATGTTTACTGTGATAAGTTTTTGTGTGTGTGTGCATGTGTGTTTAGACTGAAGGGCTAAAAGTTTAATGGACATATTTTGAACATGTATGCCTTCCTTTTTAAATAACTTTGCAGTGTAGATAGACGGCTGTTTTCAACTAATGAGAACATCTATATAACTGCATGCTAGGACAGGTGGATGTTTTCAACTCATAAAAGCAGAATGTTTCTGAAATACTGTTGAGAGCTGCCTGTAATTTTAGTCTTGTCTTTTAGGCAGGCGTTCAACAGCCTGTTTTGCTGTACCTTGCAGTGTTCCATGTTCTACCCTTTTCACTCATAGGGATTCTGGAGATCAGCAAAAAGGTAGAAATTCATTTTTTTAAAGACATTATTTACTTATTTTTAGAGACAGGGGAAGAGAGGCAGACACAGAAAGAGAGTAACATTGATATGTGAGAAATAATGATCAGGGCCTCTTACACGCCCACAAAGAATTCATTTCTGAGTTAATTGCAACATTAATTGTTTTACAATAAGATATAATGTAATCATTTAATTATTTGATTATTAGGTGTTTTGATTAGAAATATTCACGACTGGCTATGACCAGTTGCCTCAGTTGGTTTGGCATTGTTGGTTGCAAACTGAAA